TTTTTTGAAAAAAATGGCGGGTGCGGCTTATAGTCCGGTGCGGCTTATAGTCCGAAAAATACGGTAAACAGAAAAACAAAAACACCAAAGGTTTTTTTTTTCTTATACAGCAGGTTTTTTTTCGTTCTTTTTAATGACCAAGTTTGGAAATTTACTATGCAATGTGATGTTACATAAAATGCAGTTACAAGTACTGATACTGGAGCTAAACCCAAATTATCAATGCTTTATATTTATTTATTTGTAACTTTTCTCTATTAAAACTGAATTCTGTAAAGTTAAACCTTGAAAAAAAACACCTAATGATTAGTTTCTGCAAGTCTTATTAAAATCCACTCAGAAGAACATCAGACTAACAAATATCTATTAACAGGACAGACAATTGAAAACACACACAAAGAGAGGCAAAAACATCATCACTCTGCCTTTACCTTGGCAGCGTGCGATAAAATAAGAAATGAATTGTGGTGGCACAGTCTATTTTAATTCCACATAGGTCCACAACAATCGCAGGCATGAAATTAAAAATGAAATGTGCATGTGAGCCTGTGTCTGGAAAACCAACAACTATGAAGCTGAGCGTATGAGTTTAGGGGTGTAGGCACACAATTCTGGCTGGACGTCCTTGGACTTCACTGACATAATGACAACAGAAATTATAACATACTGAAAGCACATGCTTGTTTCTTTTAAATGCAAAGCCAGAACATAAAACTCAACAAAACTGTTCTGAATTTGATTGATTCAAAACACATCCAATGAGAAAACAAATTATATTCAAAATGCACTGTATTATTTAGTAAAGGGTGTCTGTTAGACATTATCTTGTTTCTTGCATGAGACCTACTTTACTAAACACAACAAGCTTATGTCCCTCTTCACTTACTTTAAAATGATTAAAAAAAATAAACGTGGAGCTGATTTATTGGAGTCACACAAGGAGAGCAGCAGAGACCTCCTGCAAAGATCCCCAGTTAGGGCCATGTGACGGAGCTAAGAATGATACGTATCCCCGCCATGTTGTCAGTCAGCTAAAAATATATAGCGCCAGCCAAAGCAGGAACATCACTGAGCACATTATATAAAGACTGCAAATATCTGCACACCCTATGTGGGACAAACCAGGGTATCCAGCAGACTCCAACCTCCTCCACTGTTTTCACCCTGCTGTTTCTGCCTGCTCTAAATTTCAAAAATAAAGGAAATCAGCGTGGCTGGGTACAGTAGACACAGGTGCCAAAGTGAAATGCTGCATTTTTTGTTTGCACTTCACCAAATCCTATGGAAAAAAATAAACAGGCCTCACTTGTTGATAAAAGTTACGCAAGTTCATACATTAAAGCAAAAAGTTACAGGGGTCAGACAATGAAACTGAAACACCTGTCATTTTAGTGTGGGAGGTTTCATGGCTAAATTGGACCAGCCTGGTGGCCAATCTTCATTAACCGCACATTCCACCAGTAACAGCAGAGTGTGAAGGTTCAATTAGCAGGATAAGAGTACAGTTTTGCTCAAAATATTACAAAGCACACAACACTATAGGTGACATACCAGAGTTCAAAAGAGGACAAATTGTTGGTGCACGTCTTGCTGGTGCATCTGTGACCATGACAGCAAGTCGTTGTGATGTATCAAGAGCCACGGTATCCATGTTAATGTCAGCATACCACCAAGAAGGACCAACCACATCCAACAGGTTTAACTATGGACGCAAGAGGAAGCTGTCTGAAAGGGATGATATGGTCTAAAACCAGCTGTTTCAGTTTCATTGTCTAACACCTGTAGCTCTTATCCAGAATTTGTTCAGTCTAGGGGTTTGCAAATATACAGTACTGTTCTCCAGAAAGAATGAGCATGTCTACATCAAAATGCTGAGAAGAAATATAAATCCTAAATGCAGTTTTGCTGTAAAATCTAAATAATTTGTCTTATAGGAATCTAACATGATCACTCAGAGTTGCACCCAGATGATGTAGAGCTCTGACTCATGTCATTTGTGATGCTAACAAATTAAAACCTGCAGCCAAAATATTTGAGTTAATTCCAGCCAGATGACCTGAAACATAAAATTTGACTCTGTCTCAATGTAAACACCCAGAAAGAGAAATCCATCAGATTGCATCCTGGCATGAAAAATGGGTATCTTTAAGAAGGATATGTGCCGAGCACCTCAAATTGCTAAGGGTCATAGGAACCCTATTATTCCATTGCAAACTATATTCAGACATGTCTGAATTATGTACAATAGTGTTTTTTTCATTTCCAACAGCCCTGAGACAATGTGTTCCACCAAACTTTAGTGGATATATATTAATTTTCCCAATCTCACAGAGTAGATAGAGTTCAGCCCCACAGGTCCTGAAACTTTAAACTTGTCGGTCCTGGAACCAGCCATAGTCAAAGTTTTTCTGCATGAACTCACTGACTTTTAATCCCAGTAGGAGTTCAGGGAGGAGTCCG